ACGTTATTATCGACGGCCACGACGCATCAGCACTCGTGGACACCGGAGCAGACAACTCAGTCTTGAGTGGAAGGCTTTCTCGCCGCCCTCGAAAAGTGACGACGCCGTGGGAGGGGCCGCCCATACGTACTTCTGGTGGACACCTGATTACGCCTGTCGGAAGGTGCACTGCTCGAGTTGTAATCCACAGTGAGGCGAGCCCTGTCAAGTTTGTCGTTCTGCAAGACTGTGCGAGTGACGTTATCCTCGGAATGGACTTTCTCTGCGAGTATGGCGCCGTCATGTATACCTGGGAACAAACCGGCTGACGCAACGAAAACCTGCTCCAACACCGGAGGAATCCAAAGCGACGTCATCCGCCGTCCGAGTCCTCGCAAACCACGTAAACTTACCACCGCGGTCGAGTGTTTTTGTGCGCGTCGGGATCGATGAAGCTTGCTGCGGTGAAGTACTTCTAGAGGGAAAGCCTCAAATTGCTCTTGGGAAGAGGAATAGGTGTCGCAAGAGGACTAGGTGAACTTAAGGATGGCCGAACTGTGGTCCTCGTGACGAAATTCTGAAATGAAACGCAACACCTCACGAAAGGTTCAGTCGTGGCCCACATCGAGGAACTCCAGAGCTCCGCCGTAATCTACGCGATTACTGAAGAGTCCCCTCCACCCGAGCAGACAATACGTCGCCAGCGCAGGTCGACATCGACCCTAAGCTTTCGGGCCCGAAACGATGGCAGCTGATTAAAGTCCTTGCCGAATACCGCGACTGCTTTGTGACGTCTTCGAAGGTGCGCAAAACCACCGTTGCGAAGCACCGCATCGTTACCGAGGACGACGCGCGCCCTGTGCATCAATCGCCCTACAGAGTCTCCGCTAACGAAAGGGAGGTGATTCAGGAGCGTGTTCAAAAGATGCTGAACGACAACATAATCCAACCTTCAAGCAATCCGTGTGTCTCCCCAGTTGTGCTGGTGAAGAAGAAGGGCGGAACGGTTAGGTTCTGCGTGGATCACCGACAGCTGAATGTGATGACGAAGACAGACGTCTACCCACTCCCGCGCATCGACGACACTCTAGACCGGTTGCGCCACTCTCGATATTTCTCATCGATGGACCTGTAGAGCGGCTACTGGCAGATCGAACGAAGTCGACGAACGGGACCGAGAGAAGACAGCTTTTGTCACGCCGGATGGACTGTACGAGTTTAAGGTGATACCCTTCGAATTATGCACGGCGCCAGCAACTTTCCAGCGCGTCATGAACATCGTACTGGCAGGGCTAAAGTGGCAGAACTGTTTTGTCTACCTTGACAACGTCGTAGCATTTTCAACTGACTTCGACGAGCACTTGCGACGACCCCGTGCTATTCTCCAAGCCATACAGACCGCCGGGCACACTTTCAAGCCGTCAAAGTGCTGGTTCGCCTATGACGAACTGAAGTTCCTAGGCCAAGTGGTTAGTAACAAAGGCGTCCGACCAGACCCCGAGAAGACGCGCGCCGTCGCGGCATTTCCAGCACGGACAGACAAGAAGACCGTGCAAAGATTCCTTGGACTTTGTGCCTACTATCGTCACTTCGTTCGGGATTTCGCAAGAATTTCCGCACCGCTTATATACCTCACGAAGGACGCCGAGAAGTTCGAATGGGCCGAGGAGCGGCAGCAAGCATTCGACGAGCTTAGGCGAAGACACCAGACTCCTCCTGTCCTTGGGCACTTTGATCAGGATGAGGAAACCGAGGTTCACACGGACGCTAGTAATGCAGGACTTGGAGCGGTACTAGTTCAAGTGCAAGAAGGCACCGAGCGGGTCATCGCCTGCGCAAGTCGGACGCTGTCGAAATCGGTAAGAAATTACACCACGACTGAAAAAAGAATGTCTTGCGGTCGTCTGGACAATCACAAAGTTCCGCCCGTACTTGTACGCGAGCCCTTTCCGCGTAGTCACAGACCATCACTCGCTCTGCTGGCTTGCGAACCTCAAGGACCCTTTAGGACGACTCGCTCGATGGAGTCTCCGACTAAAAGAGTTCAACATGACTGTAGTGTACAAGTCAGGCCGTAAGCACAGCGACGTCGACTGCCTTTCCAGGGCCCCTGTCGAGACACCTTCCGGCAGCAGCGCCTACAATGACGACGAGTGCTTCCTAGGAGAAATGACCACCGACGACATGGCGTGACGTCAACGAGACGATCCTGAGCTGCCAGCCTTAATAGTGCTCCTGGAAGGGCGCGGGAGTACCGTGCCCGCGTTTTCTCACAAGTCCTGCCGACCTTCGCCATTCGACAAGGTGTACTCTACAAAAAACCTTCAGGGACAACAACTTGCCGTGTCTGCTGGTAATCCCGACCGACCTTCCAGAAGAGATCTTTCAAGCCTGCCACGACGACCCGACGTCCGGACACCTTGGTTACAGTTGGACGGTGGCCCGTATTCGCGAAAAGTATTACTGGCCCAAGCTCCCCAAAACCGTCCACCTCTACACCCGATCCTGTCACGAGTGCCAGCGACGCAAGAAAACGCCGACGAAGCCAGCAGGTCTCCTGCAGCCAAACGCTTCACCAACTGCACCGTTCCAGCAGATCGGAATGTATCCACTTTGTCCTTTTCCGCCGTTGACCCTGGGGAACCGTTGGATAATTGTCGCCACAGATTATCTCACGCGGTACGCAGAAACGAAATCCCTTCCTTCACGGACTGCTGTTGAAGTTGCCAAGTTTTTCATCGAGTCCATCCCCCTCCGGCACGGTGCTCCCGAAGTTCTGATGACAGATCGGGGATCATAGTTCATGGCACAGCTGATCCAAGAAATCCTCCGGCTCAGTCACACAAGCAATCGTCGTACCACTGCGTACCACCCGCAGACCAACGGGCTGACGGAGCGACTCAACACAACAATCGCCGACATGATCTCTATGTACGTCGACGTAGAGCACAAGACGTGGGACGAGGTGTTGCCCTACGTAACGTTCGCCTACAATACGGCGGTTCAAGAGGCCGCAGGATTCACACCTTTCTAGCTGGTACATGATCGGAAGGTAAAGACCATGCTGGACGCCATGCTGCCCCATGGGCCATCTGACAATAAGAGCGACGACGCCCAAATGGTTGCTCAACGCGCCGAAGTCCGCCAGCTCGCCCGACTACTGATTCAAGACCAGTAACGCGTCGACGCGGGCCGCTACAACTTTTGTCGCAGGGACGTCCACTTCCAGCCCGGAGATAGGATGTGGGTGTGGACGCCCATCCGTCGCCGCGGCCTCAGCGAAAAACTGCTTAAACGGTACTTCGGACCAAAAAAGGTATTTCGTCGCCTCGGAGAGCTGAACTACGAACTGATGCCCGACGGAACAAGAACACACCACGCCGCCCACCACGACCTGAAGTCGTCCACGTCGTGCGGCTGAAGCCGTACTACGCTCGATAGGACTATGGACCTTATGTGTTCTAAATGACTCTTTAGTTGGCTGTTCTTTTTATTTGCTTTGTTTTCTTTTGTGGTGCATCGGGGCGATGCACTTTTTAAGGGGGAAGTAATGCCACGCACGCAGCTGGCATTACTCCCCCTTAAGTAGGCAGCGCGGGCGTGGCCTATCGGTTATCGCGCTCTCCTTCCACGCAGAATGCCGGGGTTCGATTCCTGGCCGCGGGTGCGCATTTGTGTTGACTCTAATCTGATGTTCTGGTAAATTCGAGAACCGTGTTGGCTAATTCGAGGTTAGAATGTTCTAGATGCCGACACTTCTACGCCGATTGTTCGAGAAGCCCACGCGCGTACAAAAAGGGGCTGCGCGTGGCGCGCCGGAGTCAGTTTCGCCCCAGCGTTCGACTCTACTGTCGCGCCGACTTCGACGCCCGCGACCCACTGCTTTTTTGGTTCCGTTTTCATTTTTTGGGCACAAGTTCGCCCCATTAAACGTTTAGTTTCTTCAGTTATTATCGCCTCATCAATTGTCATTCGTGACAATGTATAAAGTGGTTCAAGTCACCAGGCTCGATCTAAAATCGACCGTAAAAATTCACGCCTGTACGTAATAATCTAAACTTTTCGTCAAAGGTGGAATTCACAGGTCGGTTTTTTCTTGTAAAATTGCAGAGCGTAGCACTCTTTCTGTAAAAAATAAGGCCCAGAAACTTGCCAGGGTCTACGGCGGGCAGCAACGCAGACGACAGGGTCCATTAGCGGGGTGTGTTTGGCGTTCGTATTGATGGATGGCGCTACCTCCTTATCGCGACGGCTCCAGATCACCGTGGTATATCAAAATGAAAATAATATTTTTGAAATGTACCTTCGGTTAAAAAATAAATGCAAACGATGAAAGCAAAACTTAAAGTAAAAAAAAAAACGGGTCTTCATAACGGCAACGCTTTTGCTGCCAACGGATTTCGTCTGTGTGTCGTCTGCTATATTTCGCTGGTCGGTTACACCTTCAGACGCTGCTCCCGACGCCATCTATCAATACGAACGCCAAACACACACCGCTACTGGACCCTGTCGTCTGGGTGGCCGCCAGCCATAGACCCTGGCAAGTTTCTTGGCCCAATTTTTTACTAAAAGAGATCTACGCTTTGTAATTTTACGAGAAAAAACCGACCTGTGAAATACACCTGTGACGAAAAGTTTAGATGGCTACGTGCAGGCGTCGATTTTTACGGTCCATTTTAGATCGAGCCTGGTAAATTGAACCACCCTATATAGGCCCTTTCTTCTAAACGTGTTCTAACAGTCTGCGCTTATGTGGTACATTGTTTCGCATAAATTGTTTTTAACAAGACCGGGAAATTTTTCTGGAAATTGTATACGCTACTATTACTCAAACGCATAAACCTAGAAATGACATTGCAAGTACTGCAAGTCATGCCGTGCAGTTAAGAGCCGAAAAGATTTAGCGCATATTTTCCCACAGGCGCCAGTACGTTTGAACACGGATCAGAAATTCGAATATGTGGCATTGCTTTGTTTAGCGTGTGTCAGGAAAAACACCCCTGACCGTACATGAACTCAGTTTATACACTCAAATGATATTTTATTTTAGCCTCGAATACAACTGACACATTCACTACCAAGAAAACAACAGGAACAGTAACGAAAAATAAACTCATGGTAAAGGCAGTTTGGGAAATGTGTTATAACCGACTGATTTCTTTCTTCTCCTCGGCATTATTGTTCTCTTCTTTCCCGTCTTTAATGTTTCCAGGGTACGGAGAGCTTGACTTGAGACTTTCAACGGTGTGCAGTCTACCGTTTTGAGACTTGACTTGATTGGGGGCTGACTTGCCGCCGAATCGTCCGAGCACCAGTTTTTCCAGTCGGCCCACAGGCACCTCGCAGGAAACAAATGTGACGTAGCTAAGGATGGTGCTGGCCACAAACACCGAAAAACATTGCATTATCTGCAAAAAAATAGAAACAATATAAATGAGATAGTAAGATGTATACGGATCATGAAATTACCCCAGATAGGTCATATTGAAAGGAAATGACACAAAAAATAGATGGCTCATTTTATATCGATTTGGGTAAAACAAATATGGAACAAAGAGACATTTATTTCTGTTTCGTCCTACTTAGTCTAGCCGCCGTTTTGTTTTACTTCACAAATTTTGATGAGTGTAACCAACACAGTCGTTCTCGCTGGGGAAGTTGTTTTGGTTTCCAAAAAAAAAAAGAACGGAAAGAAAACTACACATAGAGACCGTTCACGTGTTGAAAGTTTATGTGCTCAAGAACTATCAGATAAACTAGAGTTTTTTTTTTTGCAAATAGGTAACCGAAAGTATTAGTTAAATACTTTGCAGTCACATGAATTACCTAGGCTCCTAGGTACACACGTAAGCGATATGAAGGTGAACAGCCCCCTTCTTGTTTTTGACGCTCCTGCAAGTTTTGGAACAAGCTCTGTTCCAAAAGAGGGCTAGAACGCAAAGTTTCGACCCTTGGCCACGTGCCATTTGACATGTTGAGAGTTAATATAGCTTTAGGGAGCCGTAAAACAGGCAAGAAGCCAGGTAAGGTGTTCTCCTTCGTATTGCCGGCGGGTGTACATAGGGCACAGGTGCACTCGTGATTACGAAGCAGCCTACCGGAAATCATCAGGCCCTAGCAAACGTAGAATCTCCAATAAAAAAGCGAAAAGGTGGAGTATCCAATGTTTGTGCATTACTCTCTCCAATAAATATTTAATACTCGCGTGAACAATATCGGTATAGTGTGTTCAAATTCTAAAATTAGCATTTGAAACGAATAATATTTTTAATTATTTGGACTCACAAACTGAAGTGACCAAAACCACACAGGCGTGGTTAATTAATAGAAAGCTTACGGATAATCTGCGTGTACCCGTTTCTAATGTTAAAGTCAGCCGCTCATTGGAGGTGGCTGGATTTAAATCTGAGTCGCGCTGTATTGTTCTCGCTCCTTGGAAACTCCTGATGAACTCCCTGAATACTTTATCTCCATGGGGCGGGAAGGAACTTTTGTTTTATTGGTCATTGGCTTGCGCTTCCAATACAAGTAGTTCTTTGCCAAATCCTTACACTTGCCACTGCCCAGGCAGAAAATGGTAATTTTATGGGACACTCTTATGTTTGAATCATGTCAAAGCCTTCTAACTAGCTCTTTCGTTGAGGCAATTTCCTAAAGCGAAGACTTCTTAAACCAACCGCGAGTTGTGCTCTGCGATTTGCTTAATGAATTGAGCATTGCGTGGCTGCCTTCCATACGACTGCATACGCTGTAATAAGTCTAAATTAAGCTTTGTGAAAAGTCAGTTTTGTGTTGAAATACGGATACATCAGGAAAAGTGTTAAGGACCTGAGCGGCTGAGGCGCTTTCGTCACAAAATAGGCGAATGAGCTTCCTCGGGCTGATATTTGTGTGGTGCCCTGCTACAATCATCGGATATTAAAAAGATAAAAAAAGACACGTTTGTATTCCTAAATTCCCGCAAAGCTAGTCACTGTTACCGACAGAGGAATCCAGCAAATGTCACAGCTTGGAATCTTTTTTTAATGAAGTGGTGCTATCAGAGATAGAATGTGGAGAGGAATATTTCACATGGGGATTTTTTCAAAGGCAAAATGTTTTGTATGAGTAAACGCACATTATATTTGGGTGCTCATTCGCACTGATTATTCGGTTGATACCAGAGGTTTGTCTAAAGCGCTTTGTGTAAGGACCTGTCGTTCGACGATATTGAAAGTTTTCCAAACCAAAAGGGCGAAATTGTGAATGATACTTACCAATGTAAAATGAGAGTAGAATATCCGCTCTCTTGCAATGTTAAACATTGTGAAGTAGAAAGGAACGTGAATCACGTAAATTCCGAATGATAGCCGACTGATTGGGATGAATGCTTGCCAAGAAAGAAATCTACCAAAGAAGCCTGGTGGGAAAAGAACACATGTCTGGTTACTCACATCTGCCTAGCACTCCTCCAAAATCAATCCAAGCATTGCCCAAACTTTAGAAATGTAAAATATTACATATGTTTGTGTTTTGTAGAGTATATCGCATATTTAGATATCTACTTCACTTAGAATATTTAAGCACAGGTGTTTTGGTGCTTATAGTGATACTTTAAACAAAGTTAAGTAATCATATAACTTCACGCGATTATAACTACTGTAATGTAATATTTATAAAAGTGATTATTTTTCTGTTATTCAAAATTGTTGGAAACGTTAAACGCAAACACAAACACATTCTATCAGGGTGATCGATACGTGTGATCACCTCAACACAGATCATTATTTGGGTTACCTTTTATTCTTAAAGGATATGAAAGTCGTAAGCTGGCGAAAATAGTGATATTAGCGTTCTAAAACAAAACAGTTTAACATGTATGTAAAAGTATCACCACCAAGAGAAGTCAGCCGGTTGTGTAACATATATTGATTATACAACCATGGTCCTCAAATGCGGAAATACATTCAGTAACCTTCGCCGACGCGTTCATGAGCCTCGCATGTGAAAAATACAATATCTCAGAAATATAAGTAGTTATGTTGTGCTCAGCGAAATCATATTCCGGAGAATGTCAATAACGAACGTATTCAGTGACTTGTCTTCTTACCCGTGCTAGCTGTAACGAGTTACAAGTAGTAGCGTTACCGGTAACGCTACTACTTGTAACGCTAGTAGTACAACTACTAGCGTTATCTTGTCCGCTAAAGTTGTAACGTACTCGTTAACCTTTCAAAACCGCAACGGGTAACGTTCTTGCGTTACTTATTTCGAAAAACGGGTAACGTAGTTATGTTACTCGTTACAATTGGTCCCAAGACTGTGATATATTACACTTTATTTGTTTCTTCTTGTTGCTAGGCTCCAAGTCATATAAACTTGTGCGCGTTGCGCTATTCGTTGCGTTTTTCCTTGTGAGTATTTAGGTGGAATTGGAAAAGCATAAGGCAATTATGTTCACTTTCTGGATTGACATAGTGTTTCTTGAATAATGGTGCTTATGCATGCCTGTAACGTCGAAGAGTAAGACGTCTTCATTCGTCATTCAAACACACCGTGCATTACCTTTTAACGGAAACGACAATGCGCTCATTTTATTTTGAGGAGACGTAGGTCGGTAACACGTTAAATTTATTTGCAAGTAACAAATCACGTATTCCCTTAATTTTTTCGGTAACGTCTACACAACTGCTTTTTATGTATTGGTGATCGTTACATTGTTCAGACGAAAACTTCGCGTTCGCGGAAGGCAAGTGGTGTTCCTTAGTTACAAAAATAGTTTAGATTTTATATTTTGATCACCACCGAATATTGCTCCTTTCTGAATATAAAACCAGATATAGCTCCGTTATATATGTTGTACATATTGAATTGTGATAATTCAGTCCCGAATATTTTAGTTCTATATAATTTTCAAATAGTGAAAACTTCTTAGCGCTGCGAGTTAACGTTCAAAGGCACACTGCCCCTCGCCTGGCGTACACGCAGTAAGTTGTACACAACGTTATTATCCTAGGCACCATAATCATCAGCAGTCCCGGTATGTCTCTTTTCGTAGGTTTTGTTAAACAGCTTACTGAACAACATTTTGAGTCGTAGTTAAGCAGCTTTTTAAACGCCAAGCTTTACTAAAACGCATTTGCGTGTGTGCAAAAGTGAAAAGTCGCCAAGTGACTCGCCAGTGTACCATATCCTATATTGGTGAAAAACTCTACAATGCCATTTAAATATTTTCCCCGCTTGGTTGCTGTCAAGGTATGTAGCCAAAAGTAGCATACTTTTTGCATTTTTTAATCATCACAGTTCGAAGTCTGATATTTAGTGACCAAATTTTCAACACTATGAAATTTCTGGTTTAAAATGTTTCAGTCACTAATTTTGTATTCACTGTTGCGTAGTGTTTCTTAAGTGACTTCTAGGATTCTTCTACCATTTTTGCCCCTATAGATGTATTATATTCGGCAATGTTACACGCTCATATTTCATCTCTGTTTTAATCTTAGTATTTTCCATTGATTTTCATTCATACTTGTGTTTTTAGAAAGATTATATCGGTATTAATTTCGGCTTCGTTGCAGAAATAACAATTGCATTAAATAAACCTTTGACGTTTATACAATGCTGCGTAGGTTTCATTTTTTGTGTATACAGATGTAAACGAGTTCTGAATAAGAGCTTATGCGCCGCCTAATTATTTGGATTCTGTTGTAACATGTCGTTATTTATGCCTAAGGGAAGTTGATATGAGCGCTAAACCTAAATGTTTAAATTATTGCCGACTTTATACATCGAACCACTACTCACGTGTATGCGTGTAGTCTGTGCAAATAATTCTTTTTTTCATATATAGATGGCAAGTCTACTCAGCGGTGCTCATTTTGTAGGAAGTGCAGAGTACAACACGATTAAATGCGATCACATAATGTTAAAATTACGAGTAAAGAAAACCGTATGCACACAATATTCTTTTCTTTTGAGAGAGTTACCGTGAAGAGCTGATGACACTAAATGCGCCTAACATATTAAAACGAGCATTACAATACCCTTACTTTCAAACGTGTGTCTATCTTCTAGCCCCCCCCCCCCCCCCCAGTATTATGTGTATTATATTAGAATGTGTACAGTGAATCTGTTTTTCGCGTCTTGTGCCTGGAAACAAGGTGTAATTTATCTTTCTTATACAGGAAAAACGCCGAACAAAAAATACTTGAGTTTTAAGGTGCTGAACGTACACCATCTCGTCTGTATCTTCCTTGCTATTTTAATTTTACTCATTTTAATTGTTGCTTCTGTAGAGTCAATGAATCTCCTGTATTCGTCTAGTGAAGACGTCGCGACTTATTCTGGAAGCACACAACTAGGTAGTAAAGCACGGTTGGTCCAAATATAGTAAACAATGTCTTACCACCTCTTCCAGTGGCGATAGCGAACACCGACCACATCAGGCAAAATGACCACATAAACCTGTCTGTGTAGCAGAGCGGGATCTTGATCCACTGCTGCGTTGGGTTTGTGCCACGGTTCCAGTCGTACTTCATAAACAGAGATGACAGGCAGCAGGTTGCTGCTAAGCACCATAGGGAAAGCTGCACTAACTGCGTTTTGGAAACAAAATGTGCTCTGATTACAAAGATGAAAGAGCGTGTTGGTGAAAATACGGGAGTCAAAGAAAGAATAAAAACACTTAAGGACAAGGACAGACAGCACAGTTCTTTCAACTAGCAACACACATTTACTGGTGTCTCCTTCAATAGTGCTATCTTCTTCCTAACGTTTGAGACTAAAGAGGAAGATGCGGAATTAATATTTTCATATACACCCGGAAAAAACCAACACAAATTTACACCCAATACACTAAAGATAAAGAATTCAGAAAGAAAGAAAAAAGAAGAAAAAGAAAAACACTATTGACAAATTGAGATAGAGCGCCCTTTGGCTAATCCAGCTCTGGTTTCAGGTAGTTGATCTCATTTCTGGACAAGGCGAGAGAAGGGGCAGCGATGTTGTGATCGTCATGGGCTATCTTGTATGCCTCAATGATCTCTCTCCCGAGCTTGTTCTTATGTCTCCCAATCGTGCAGGTGTCCTGGAACCGGGCTTCACAGTTTGTACAGAGACGTTGATGAACCACTATTGGGTGAAAAGTGTCGTCCGAAGCACGAGAGACCTCGAGGACGTGCTCTCGTAGGCGGGTGTTAAGGCAACGACCCGTCTGTCCAATGTATCGGTCGCCACAGGAGAGAGGGATGGAGTATACCACCCCCTCTTCACAGGGAACGGTCTGATGAGCGTGTTTGATGGAACATCTTTTGATGGATTCGTTATTGTTCACGCGCCTGCACAGTTGTTTCAGGCGCAACTTGCACGAGAAGACAACCGAAACGTTGAAGCGCGCTGCAATTGCCTTCAGTCTGTGCGCCGAGTTGTGCACATAGGGAATGCAGATAACTCGTGAAGGCTTACTACGTGGAGCACGGGGCCTTTGGGTGGTTAGAATTAACTGAACAAGAATGGTGCTCAGTAGACCTTGCGGATAACCTGCTCTGAGGAGACGTTCTTGTTGTTTTGCAATGCTGAAGCTTGCAAAGTGAGAACATGATTTGGTGCGAGAAGATGAGAGGAGAGACCGGATGATTCCATGTTTTACCAGTTTAGAATGGGAACTGCAGAATGGAAGAATAGGTTTCTGAGACCGTTGTTGGAAGGCCCAACAAATGCCGGTCGGAAGAAGATGCAGACGAAGATCGAGATACTGGAGACCATCGCCTGAGCTGTCTTCCCTTGTGAAATTCAGGCCTGAGGACGAAGAAGTGAAGGCTTGAACTACAGAATCAGAAGAAACTGAGATCGGGTGAATGACTAAGTAATCATCCACGTAACGAAAAACATGGAAGACAAGTGACAACTCTTCAAGGCGTGCTTCAAGCTCCCTATCCACATACGTTAGAAATATTTCGCTGAGGACTGGGGCAAGGCAGGAGCCTATGCAGACACCTTTCTTTTGCCTGAGAATTTCCTTTCCATGTTCGACGAGTGTTGATTGTAGATATAGGGCCAAAAGGTCTAGGACACCCCGTTCAGATACCCCAGATGAGTTCTGAAAGTCGCATGGGCCATGTTCGTGGATGGCACTTGACACAGAATCCATGAGAAATGCGGGATCTAATCGGTAATATAGTTCCTCAATGTCTAACGAAAACATGGTAAAGGCCTCGGGAGTTGAATGGAGGTCATGAAGTCGGGATACAAGTTCTGTGGAGTTGGCAACTCTGAAAGGTTGGTTGAGACTGATCGATGACAGATGCTTTTGCAGAAAAAGAGCAAGAGGCTTCTGCCAACATCCCTTTTCTGAAATGATGCTTCTTAAGGGAACTCCTTCTTTATGGGTTTTTGCCGTGAAAAACACTGTTAGGTATTGCTTGGAAGGAGCCCCAATGGCAGCTTTAAGAGCCGGGAGATTAAGGGAGCAGCAAAGTTGCTTTGCCTTTGAACGGAGAGACCCTGAAGGCCTGGTCTTCAGAGTATCAAAATTCTTTTTCAATGCCTCGCTCACCTTCTGCCCATAGGAACCTTCATCTAAGATGACAAAAACACCTGTTTTATCTGATTCCAGTAGTTTCAGGTGACTTCTTTGCAATTCTTCGACTGTAGCCCGGATCGGAACTTTGCCCGTAGGTGGAGGAGCATGGGCGCAGGCGGATCGGACTCCAGCATCAAGAAAAGCTTGCCGGTCTTGTTCTGGAATGTGAGTCGCAACAGAATGGACTGAAGTTAGTTGGTCGACCCTTGTAGTCGGAAGGTTCGGGGAAAACTTGGGACCCTTGGAAAGGAGATCCAAGGTGCCAGAACTTAGTTGATGATCACATAGAACGACCGGAGGCTCCAATTTCGTTTGGGGGGTCTTATGGTGAATAGTGGTCACACCGGTGACAACCTTCTTCCATGAAGATTCGAGAAGATTGGACGCAGCCTTTTGGAGGAACCGGAAAGATGGGTGGGTTCCATAACCTGGTCCAAAGATGATGGTCATCTGTTGTGGGAGGATCGTTTCCATGAGGCGTAACTGTCGTGACACCTCCTTCCTTGAAATTTGCATGAGTCTGTAGTTTGAAGCCCAGTTGTGGCAACAGAAACCCAGCATAGCTTCCACTCCAGGGTGAGGAATGCCTTTGCGGATGTGAAGCCCAAGGGAACGTAGCCTGAGGCGAAGAAGGGCCATGCTTGAGAAGAAGCTTGCTGCTTGAAAAAACCTTACAGGGTCGAATTCAGACGGTTTGAAGGTGGGACATGGACAAGACATAGAAAGCTCAAAAATATAAGAGACAAAGATGAAAGAGCGTGTTGGTGAAAATACGGGAGTCAAAGAAAGAATAAAAACACTTAAGGACAAGGACAGACAGCACAGTTCTTTCAACTAGCAACACACATTTACTGGTGTCTCCTTCAATAGTGCTATCTTCTTCCTAACGTTTGAGACTAAAGAGGAAGATGCGGAATTAATATTTTCATATACACCCGGAAAAAACCACACAAATTTACACCCAATACACTAAAGATAAAGAATTCAGAAAGAAAGAAAAAAGAAGAAAAAGAAAAACACTATTGACAAATTGAGATAGAGCGCCCTTTGGCTAATCCAGCTCTGGTTTCAGGTAGTTGATCTCATTTCTGGACAAGGCGAGAGAAGGGGCAGCGATGTTGTGATCGTCATGGGCTATCTTGTATGCCTCAATGATCTCTCTCCCGAGCTTGTTCTTATGTCTCCCAATCGTGCAGGTGTCCTGGAACCGGGCTTCACAGTTTGTACAGAGACGTTGATGAACCACTATTGGGTGAAAACCCAATAGTGGTTCTATTGGGTGAAAACCACTATTGGGTGAAAACAAATGCCGGTCTTCTTCCGACCGGCATTTGTTGGGCCTTCCAACAACGGTCTCAGAAACCTATTCTTCCATTCTGCAGTTCCCATTCTAAACTGGTAAAACATAGAATCATCCGGTCTCTCCTCTCATCTTCTCGCACCAAATCATGTTCTCACTTTGCAAGCTTCAGCATTGCAAAACAACAAGAACGTCTCCTCAGAGCAGGTTATCCGCAAGGTCTACTGAGCACCATTCTTGTTCAGTTAATTCTAACCACCCAAAGGCCCCGTGCTCCACGTAGTAAGCCTTCACGAGTTATCTGCATTCCCTATGTGCACAACTCGGCGCACAGACTGAAGGCAATTGCAGCGCGCTTCAACGTTTCGGTTGTCTTCTCGTGCAAGTTGCGCCTGAAACAACTGTGCAGGCGCGTGAACAATAACGAATCCATCAAAAGATGTTCCATCAAACACGCTCATCAGACCGTTCCCTGTGAAGAGGGGGTGGTATTCTCCTGTGGCGACCGATACATTGGACAGACGGGTCGTTGCCTTAACACCCGCCTACGAGAGCACGTCCTCGAGGTCTCTCGTGCTTCGGACGACACTTTTCACCCAATAGTGGTTCATCAACGTCTCTGTACAAACTGTGAAGCCCGGTTCCAGGACACCTGCACGATTGGGAGACATAAGAACAAGCTCGGGAGAGAGATCATTGAGGCATACAAGATAGCCCATGACGATCACAACATCGCTGCCCCTTCTCTCGCCTTGTCCAGAAATGAGATCAACTACCTGAAACCAGAGCTGGATTAGCCAAAGGGCGCTCTATCTCAATTTGTCAATAGTGTTTTTCTTTTTCTTCTTTTTTCTTTCTTTCTGAATTCTTTATCTTTAGTGTATTGGGTGTAAATTTGTGTGGTTTTTTCCGGGTGTATATGAAAATATTAATTCCGCATCTTCCTCTTTAGTCTCAAACGTTAGGAAGAAGATAGCACTATTGAAGGAGACACCAGTAAATGTGTGTTGCTAGTTGAAAGAACTGTGCTGTCTGTCCTTGTCCTTAAGTGTTTTTATTCTTTCTTTGACTCCCGTGCTCTGATTAACTTGTGAACTTTTTGAGAAAAAGCTTGAAATCACAATGATGCTCCTACACAAAGCTAGGAGCCGCGTGAGAGTATTTGTTCTTTATTACTGCCTCTGTGCCGGTGGGAGATAATGTTAACGCAGCTAGCATGCTACAGACGCCCCAAATTTGGCACAAGATTGGCAATCCTAGGGGCCAAACTTTGGCCTAATATGGTTTTGTCAAAAAGCAGTAGTTAGTGCCAGAGTATTTTGGCGTTTCTGTGACTTTTCTTTGGCTCCACAGATGAGTCACAAGGTGTCAGACTCAAGCCAAACATGCTACGTTTGCACCAAAAAACAACCCGTAAAGCTTAAATCTGGCACTTGGATGAAAACTGAAGCCCAAAGGGGCCACATCGAAACCGAACCTGAAAGGAATCATAACTCTGGAACTTGTTCGGTGATCTAGGTTCAAATATGCAAATCGCAGACAAAGTATCAGCGCCGAAGCCGAACGTTGGCACAGGCTTGGCTAATTTGGGCCGAGACACCGACTCTGGCTAAGGACAAGTTTGTCTATATTGGCCCTTTCGGCCTTTTCATGACCCTGAATTCCACTAGAAAAATAAAATATTTAGCCAAAGAGCCGTTCTGCCGGATGAAGATAATTTTATTGCTGTTATAAACTACAGAGGTTCATTTTCAATCAGGTAGAACAAATATTAATTTGTGTATAACTTCTTAAAGTGCTTGGATAAGTTTAACGATAATCATCATAAACGCGATCGTCACGAACACTGTTGTTTATATAAGAATAACACTTGCAATAATCCTGTAATTCAAACACTAAATTAGTTGTTCTGTTGCCAGCTCTCATACAGACACCATGCTAATTTGAACACGTTAAATATTTTCAAAACATTCCCTTTTGAACTTTCAATGGGCAAATCGCCAACTGGGTCAACAAAAAAGATTTGACATTTCATATTTGCTGAACACGACATAACAATTCGTTCCAATGCCTCAATATTATAAATCATAATGTGAATGAAGCTCTGAAGTGTCAAACCATAAAAACTAAAGTTTCTAACAATATATTTATATTTGAGGAGGCATTATAATTTATAGAGAAAATACATACTCGAATTGGAATGCATATACTGGAAACTACAAATTGAGTATATTCGTGACCACTTTACAGAGTTAAAACGAGGACGGCGAGATTCATTACTCACTATTGTGCTTTCTCTGAAAGATTAGGTCTCAAGAAAGGCTCACTTGGGTGGGAGCTTTTGAAATGTCGTAGGCACTCTTTGTGTTTCAAGCTCTTCCATAATATGTTTTATTTTATTGCTTCACGTTGTCTTTATCATTAAAATAATATTTAAGATTATTCCTAAGACTCATATTTGCAAACATGCATCTTCTTTTCACCACAGAAATGTAAGACTGATTCTATGCGTCAAATTTACCTTATGATATATAAGGCGCACCCGATAAGTAGTTTGTTCCACAGGACACTGAACAAAATTCATCTGAAGCACAATATAGAACTTTGCTGCACCGCGTGTTTAGACCTAAAAATTCGATAAATCTTGAGTGGAAGTGATGTACTCTGAGGTTTTAAATATACATAGTTCGTTTTCATTATAGAGGGGCTATCAATATAACGTTATAATTGTAAAAACTTACCTTGGACAACTTGGAGTGTTGAAAGCGTTCAACCAGAAATACGGTTATACATCCAGTGAAATAACAAACACCATGATACGATGGAAGTGGATAAACATCGTTCAAGGTGTCGATGAAGGTCCTGAAAAGAAGACAAATTATGTTTAAAATCCTCCGGAGCAGGCGCGAACATGTCAGTTAATGTTTCATAGCAGGTCGTATTATTCGGCTGTTTCACACAACCCACCTTTTCACAGAAATACACTTATTGGTCTAGGTGACGTCTGCCGATGATATAAAATTACAAAGTCATAGAATATACCTACACAGAAGATTGTTAGTCATGTCCCATTTATGAAGCCCGTCACGGGTCTAAGAACGCGACACTCAGATCACCCGTTTCGCCCTACTGCTTACCTTTGCGTGAAATCTTTGGAGCCATTATTTCGGTTTATGCTATTCTCTGCGTAAACTAAAATATATGCTATTCTTTGCAATGTGATACACGTCTTACCAACGCATCCTAATTTAAGCCAGCCGGATTTACTTCTGTACGTGATAATGCCAATCGTCACGAAAACAAACGGAATTCTCAAGGCACAACACGGGAACATTTGAGGGCGCCTGAAGCATGGACTCTTGCTAAACTTACTGATGAAACATTATCCAAGGTTCCATTATTTTTCACGCTTTGTTAATCATTTACTGTATCCCTCGCATTACATATAGTTCTGCCTATGTCTCCAGGAAGACCTATCTTCTCATAAAGCGGTGACGTTAAGAGTACATTTTCGCTACATGGGACGTTTTATCGAAGGCAATATCAGAAATAGCTTGACCTTCAAGATTTTTGAGAGTTAAAATTGACAAACTAATTCAACTCGACTCACTAAACTAGTCTCACGTTAGATATGCGGAGAGAAACAAAATAGCTGTGGTTTCTATAATGGACTATACTGACTGTAGGTTGTGGGAAACACGTGTTTCCCGTCTCCCTATCTAGGCCTAGCACAAGCAGGCCGTGGGAGCGTTATGGCGACGTCATCTCGGATACGGGGGTAAGGCCGCATTCCTCGAAGAGGGCGTGTCTTCCCTCGCCCTTTTGGGTGAAAGTGCCTCCGGCGCACCCTTCGGAAATGATTGTGGACGCGGCCCATCTGCGGGATAAGTCACACTACCTACCCCGGGCGCGTCCACTTTCCGCTGGCTAGATAAGCGGCCGCGAACGGCGGCCCTGGCTCTCGTCCGGGGAAGGCTCTGGGCCACGGAGCCTCGTTCTTTTTGGAGCTTTCCTCTCTCCGCGAATCTGCCTAATGCGGCAGCGTGGGCCCCCTCCAGGTGAATCTGTCTAATGCGACAGCGCCGACCCTTTTTCCGTTCTTTTTTTTTTATTAGTTTTGCCGACGGGCACAGCGTGGTGGCACAACAGCCAAATAAACCCGCTTCTTCAGTATCTTTGTGTTTTGGAGTGAATCCTCTCCTCGGAGTCCACGGCAGCCTCCGGACGGGCCCGGCCGTAGCAGTCCTCAACACCGAGCTACGGAGTGGGATCGACCTCGTGGTACAGCAAGGCAAGTCGAATCCCACAAATGGGGCCCCAACGTGCGGCCTGTCCGGCGACTGCAAACAAAGCAGCACTTTCGCAATGACAGCGAACCACGCCAATTTCCGGTCAAGGATCAAACAGGTGGACAAAGGGAGAGGCGAACGCCCGACACCCGATGCCACTCAACGGCTTAGTGGCACGTCAGCCACGTAAAGACAATGAATAAGTGTCTCGGCCGAACACGGACGTGACTCAACGCCCGGAATGCGTCCGGGGCATTCCCTTTCGGGACGACGCCAGCCTACTTCGCTGGGGAGAGCGCTCCTGCGCTTTTCGGGGTCAACCCCGTTCTCGAACAGAGTACGGTGACGCAACAAGTAGCAAGTGCAGCTTTTTGCCTTCGAGGCGGCTCGCGGGGCCCACCCAAAGTGGACACCCCGTCAGGGCAGAAACTGAAAGCGTATCTCGGAGCGAGAAAATGCACTGTGCCTGCATTCTCCCACTGCTGGAATACGTAGCGCGGGTGCGGAGACCGCCAATGGTGCCCCCTACGCTGCGACAACGGACCAGCAGTCAACACATCGACGGCAGGACCTTCCCGGATCCAGAAGCGAGATCGACCATCCATGGAGAACTACTGAGTGAGTCCTTTCGTTTTTCTCCCAAGCCTTTCCGTCCCCATCGAGGGAACAGGATTGGCGTCAGAACGGTTTTCGGTGAACTAACCTTTTAAGATTTCCCGATCACCCGCGACTGATTTCGGCAAGAATCAATGAGCGTCGCACGTACCGACATCTTTAAGGGGCACTGACACATCAAAATCATATTTTTTTTTATTATCCGAAACGGTTGAAAACGATGCCGGGACATTACCCTCAAAATTTGAAATTTGGGAATTCAGTATTTGTGAAGTAAAAAAACAATTTCCAAATGCCGAATTCGAAGTTCCCGCGCGATCGGCGCCGGTGCCTTGACGTCAAAAATTGCGGAGACCTGAGAGTCCCCTTTCCTGTCACCACTCCCTGCTGTTGCCATGGCGACCCAAAGCGAGGAGGATAGGAGCGAGCGCCGGCTAGCGCCGGCGTTGCGGCGGACCGGTTTTGAGCGGTGTCGCCTGTTTTCCGTTGGAGGATACAAATCCAGGAGACGGCACCACAGCGAACTCCCGATTTTTGGTATTTCAAAAAGAAGGGCCGTAGTGCGCTCGCAATTGCGTTAAAAAACATGTTTTAGGATTGCCGTCATTAAATGTTATAAAGATGTCGCCTACAAAGCTTCTAAATTTCCTGATTTTTGACGTCACCGATCAAAAGAAGCGAGGAGGCGAGAGGCGGGAAAATCAAACACCAAAAATAAAAAGGCGCGCGTGCGCGCGGGAAAATTTTTTTTCGCGATGCGGTTTTTTTTGCGTGTCTATGGCTGCAACTTGCATCGTTTTAGACAATAAAAATAAATACGACCTTTGGGGTGTCAGTGCCCCTTTTAGGAACCTGTGACTCCGAAAAAAAAAAAAAGCGACGTCGAAAACGTTGCGGAGTTTGGGAGACGTTTAACCAGCTCTACCGGACAAGTGCGAGAGGTTGAACAGCATCCCGAGAACGCGGTAGAAACCGCGTCGTAATTGCGTGTCATAAGGTGACCGCCATGCGGTCACTGGACGATATCGTGAACCACGGCACTCGAGGTGTTCGTTGGGAATCGACCGTAGCACCGATGAGTTTTTGATGCTCAGCAGAACGATCCGGGGTGTAAATATTATGAATAACTGTAAATACTTTCGCGGACTCTGCGGAGTCGGGCGGTGCGTCCGCCGGGCGGTACGTCCGCCGGGCGGTACGCTTGCCACTAACGTCGCTAAGCAACTTGTTTTGTTGCAGACGGGCTTTGGCAGCCGGGCAGTGTACCCGCCGTGTCGAGCAACTCGTGTTGTTGCCGACGTGTGTACCGTGAACACTCTCGTATCGCTGTTGGCACGGGTTTTTTATTTGGGATCGGTTTCTGTTCTTGCTGTTGCGGATAAACTCGAGCTACGGCGCTTGGCCTCTACGAACATTGGAGTTCAAGGTGGCTGTCCTGTGCGGCTGGGAGTTGCATTCGGTGCTCTTCTAGTTCGCGTTGGCCAGGGCAGCACGCGGCTCCAAGACTTTTCGAAGTTAGGTCGCCGTGCTATACCTGGCCACAGGAATTTGTGTTTTAGCCTAAGGTAAAAGCTAACATGTTTGGAAAATAACAATGTTGGCGAGCCTGCCCGATTGCAGCCCTGCATCGTTTCAATATCAAGAAAGGACAGGGTGGTGCATTTGACATATCATTGCGCACGCAAATCGAAGCGATTAGGCATCGTTAGCAAAAGGAGCTACAAAGAACTTTGCCTCTTCGATTAGTCACCAACAAATCCATTGTACGGGGTGACGCGAGTCAGCTTGGTATGTGGACATCCGTGTTCACATTAAGCGGAGTCGTGGAGCTATTTTCACAATAACTCCGCAAGCCGAGCCAGTGCGATGCACGTGACTCACGGCAGAAAAGACACCTTTGTCTCTGCCTTTTTTCTTTTTTTTTATCTCTGGGTCCTTGAGCACCCTGGGATTGGTCGAGTGTCCTCAGTTGGACGGCTCGACCTTGCTCGGACTTTCCGAGGTTCTCTTGGGAAAGAAACGGGTGAGGGGGCAGAGCGCAGGTTGCATTCCAATACCCGGCGGGTGTGAGTCATGGCGCGGCCCACGAGGAGGACAACAGTGCCGGGGCAACGTCATCATCGTCGGGGCTGCCTGTCGCCCTGCCGGCCCGAAAAGCTGGCCACTTCCGCTGTGACCAAGATGGCGTCAGGTTTCCTCCCGCTGCCTGGTTCCGTCTCCAACCCTGGGAACCTGGAGCTGGGGACTTGCTGCCATTCACGGACTTTGAGTGTCATTTCCCGACACACTTCGCCGTCACGGCGACCCTGCTGCTGCACCCAACCTGCGGATTCCCGTCCCGATGCCTGGACCCCGCCTGCAAGCCACCTGCACTGCGGGTGGGCGCTTGTGCCGACGCCAACGACGGTGCGTGTCGTCGGGAGGCGCTGCGGCGTCGTCATTCCTGGATTTCGGCCAAGACATCGTCCTGCCCCTGCGCCATGGTGAGCCACGGACTTCAACGCCGGGAGCTTCTCCGAAGATTTTTCATTTGTCAACCCGAGCATGTGGGGTCGGTGCCGGACGCGGTAGTTTTCTTTTTTTTTTTTTTTTCTTTTCTTGGTTTGAGAGTCGGTGGGCCAATTTTGTTTTTAGTCCTACTTTAGCCTTAAGGGGGGAGGAGTGTGGGAAACACGTGTTTCCCGTCTCCCTGTCTAGGCCTAGCACAAGCAGGCCGTGGGAGCGTTATGGCGACGTCATCCCGGATACGGGGGTAAGGCCGCACTCCTCGAAGAGGGCGTGTCTTCCCTCGCCCTTTTGGGTGAAAGTGCCTCCGGCGCACCCTTCGGAAATGATTGTGGACGCGGCCCATCTGCGGGATAAGCCACACCACGTACCCCGGGTGCGTCCACTTTCCGCTGGCTAGATAAGCGGCCGCGAACGGCGGCCCTGACTCTCGTCGGGGAAGGCTCTGGGCCA